CATCTTCTTCGTGGTCAAAAATGCAGTTCAAAATATTAAGTTCCACTTAAAAAATCATCAATATGAGGCCATTTGTGGAATTAAAAGCCAGGATGCATAACTTCAAAGGACCAGAGAATATACAGCCATTCCTCAATTCTGACATTAAAAATAGAAAACTCAAGGTGAAGGGGAACAAAGAGGTATTAAATCAGAATAAGATGATGGAATTAGAATAAAAAATACAAACGGTATAATATTGCACAGAGACGAAACCTTCAGAAAAGGTCAGGAAACGAAATACAGGTATGTGCTATTTGTAAGACACAGGTCTACAAAAAGTTGTTAAAAAAATAAACTGCTGCATAAATCTTAACAACAAAAAAGGCTGAAAGTTAAAGGAACACATCTGGGAATGGAGACTTCACTTTTGTCCTTATTTAAGATTGCCTTGGCTATTTGGCACTTCGCATTTCCATACAGATTTTAGAATCCGCTTATCAATTTCATAGAAATAACCTGCTGGGATTTTACTTAGAACTGAGTTTAATCAGAAGATCAATCACTGGCTTCCTTACAATATTGTTTTCTAATCCATGGAGAAGATATATCCTTCCATTCATTTATGTAGATGTTTCTTTCCAAGAGTGTTTTGTTGTTTTCAATGTAAAAGTTCTGCACATCTTTCAATGTATCTATTTTGAGTTATTTGATTTCTTATGCTATTTTTTAAAAGATTTTATTTATTTGACAGAGATCACAAGTAGGCAGAGAGGCAGGCAGAGAGAGGAAGGGAAGCAGGCTGCCCGCTGAACAGAGAGCCCGATTCGGGGCTCAATTCCGGGACTCTGGGATCATGACCTGAGCCAAAGGCAGAGACTTTAACCCACTGAGCCACCCAGGCGCGCCCCCCCCCCCTTTTTTTCCCAAGTAATCTTTACATCCAACATGGGGCTCAAACTCACCACCCTGAGATCAAAGCCACACACTTTTCCAAAAAGAGCTAGCCAGACTCCCCGTTATATTTTTGAAATTCCTTGTTATTTAGAAACACGTGTTTTGTTTTGTTTTGTTTTTTTGCATATTGACTTTTCTGGGACTGCTAAATTCCTTTCATTCTAAGAGTTTGCAGATTCTGAGTTTGCAGATTCTGAGTGTACATAGTCATATTGTCAGCAAATTTTTTTACCTTTATGATCCTTGTATTTTCTTGGTTTATCACACAGGCTTGAACCGGTATGATACCTGAAGGTGTGGCAGTGGGTATCTTTGGCTCAATCCTCATTTCATGGAGGAGGACTTTGTATTTTTTTCGGAAGTTTCCTATAGCATTTTTGTTGATACCTTTTGTTAGATTTAAGGATGTGCCCTCCTAATTCCGGTTTTCTAAAGTGTTTTCTTTTAATCATGAATGGGTACTGAATTTTGTAGTGTTCTTTTGTGTATCTGCCTAGACAATTATTTCTCTCCTTACTAATATTTGTTGATTGTTAATTACATTGATTATTTTTCACATATTGAATCAAACCTGGTTTTTTTTTCAGTAAACCCAGATTAGGTATGGTGTATTATCTTTTTTTTTTTTTTTCCCTCTTAGATCTGATTTGCCTATTTTTTCCAGGAATTTTACATCTACATTCACAGGAGAGTTCAACCCCTGGTTTTCCTGTGATACCCTTGCTGGGTTTTGGTGGCCTCAAAAGTGAATGAGGACCTGTGCCCTTATTCTAGTCTCTGAACTTCATGGAAGATTAGTGAGTGTAAGATATGAGTGATGTCCCTTTTTCCAAAATGTTTTTGGTCTGATCTAAGGTCTACTAAGGTTTTATCAATTTTATTGATGTTTTCAAGGTAATGACTTCCCATTTCATTGATTTTTCTTTCCTGGAGATTTGTTTTCTATTTCACTGGCTTTTGCTTTTTTTGTATTTTCTTATTTTTTGAATTTGTTATCCTGTTTCTTGACATAAAAACTTAGACCACTGACTTCAGCCTTTCTTTTATAACATGTGAATTAAAGCCATATTCACTATTACTTTACTTGTATGCCACAGATTTTGATATGATGTATCTTATCAATTTTTTTTCTAACTTTGTGATTTCTCCTGTGACCCATGGGTTATTTAGAACTGTAAATAAACTGCCTTTTTTAAGATTTTATTTATTTGACAGACAGAGATCACAAGTAGGCAGAGAGAGAGGGAGAAGCAGGCTCCCCGCTGAGCAGAGAGCCTAATGCGGGGCTCAATCCCAGGACCCTGGGATCATGACCTGAGCTGAAGGCAGAGGCTTTAACCCATTGAGCCACCCAGGCACCCCTGCCTGTTTATTTTTATTTATTTTTTTAAGATTTTATTTTTTTATTTGACAGACAGAGATCACAAGCAGGCAGAGAGAGAGAGGGAAGCAGGCTATCCACCAAGCATTGAGCCTGATGTGGGGCTCGATCCCAGGACCCTGGGATCTTGACCTGAGCCGAAGGCAGAGGCTTTAACCCACTGAGCCACCCAGGCACCCCGACCCTGCCTGTTTATTTTTAAAGTTAGAGTTTTCCAGTTCTCTTTTTCGTGACCTAATCCCGTGTTCACAGAACATTATTTTAATTTTTAAAAATTTTCTGAGGCCTGATGGCCCACTGTGACCAATTTTAGTAAATGCTTCTGGCCTGAAGACAGTATGCACACTGTTGGCTTAGAGTACAGTGTTCTGTTTATCAATTAAGTTAGGCTTGTTACTTGTGTTGTTCAACTCATCTGTTTTATTAGCTTTTGAAACAAATGCTTTAAAATAATTTTAAAAAAAATTAAATTTCACAGCATTTAGGAGTTTCATTTCATTGTATGCTTTTCTATTCCTTGGGCTTTTGACAGCAATACCTTTGTATATCCACCCCCCCCAACCCTATCTCAGCCTTTGAGCAGCAGGAGTAGTGAGCAAAGGAATGCTATGTAGACAGGAAGGCAGGCAGGCTCTGAAGGCTACCAGTGCCTCTCCATGCCCTGTTCCACCACTCAGTCATGGGCCCTCTGATGCCTTGGAAAAAAGCTGAAAGTAGTTACCTCTGTCCTGCTGAGTGCCCGAAGCAGGCATGGAAACTCTGGGGATGTGTGCTAAGTCTTGAAACTAGGGAGGAAAAGTATATTAAAGTCTGTGATAAATTGTTTCCAGTGCTACCTCTTCACTTCAGGTTTCTCCCGCACCATACTAAACTCTGGCCATGACCGCGAGGAGTGAGGTTGTTTCAGCAAACAGAACCAGATAAACGGTACTGCCCCAGCCTCCCCAACAGCTTTCATCCGGCAGCAGGGCTCTTCCCAAAGGACCCAGCCACAGGGGAACCATCTCTGCCCTCTTGGCAGAACAGTGTGTTTGTGTCGAACAGATGGCAGAGGCAGGGGGACCAGGATCATGTGACCAGAGTGCCTAGAGGTCTCTATATTGACAAAATCAAGTCTCCAGTTTAAAGGAAAAATTATTTTTATAAAAACAGAAACAGGTTTTATTTCAATCCTGTTAGGGAGTGAGAGGGATGGAAAACAAACAAACAAAAAAAAAAAAAAAATGAAGGGAGGGGTCTCTTTATACACACATGACATCAGGATCAACTACAAGGAATAATACCCATTTTCATCCCTCCCCCAACTCCTAGGTGGGGTCCAAGGCCAGCTGAGAATAGATGGAACAGGAGTTAAGACACTATTGGCACAGTAACATGGCCAATGCACCAGAAGATGGAGCGAGAAGAGAATTTCCCAGGGAGCAAGGCCCTGGGCCTCAGCTGCTTCCCCAGTGAAGGGGGAATGAGAAAACTTTGGCTCAGCAGGAAGGCAGTTGGCAAAAATCAGAGATCCCTCAGCTGGCCTCTCCAGCTCACGAAACTATGGGCTGAGGGAAGTCCAGACGTCTGTCCAGTCCATGCTGTTCTCTGCTTCCTCCAAGACCTCTTCTCTTCAGGCTTGAGACTGAGAGCTCACCTGGTTCTCCTCTTCATTTTGGAAGGCAGGGGAGTAAGTGCTTCTTCTACCCTTCCTACATCTAGGCTACTCAATTACTACTTTGTCGGCTCTAGAGACAGAAGCCAACTAACAAGGCCGGCTCCCCTTGTGAAAGTCGGCTTGAAGAGCCCTTGGGTTGGCCGAACTGCCTCCACAGAGGTTTCTCGGAGCTTGCTCCTTACAGACGGACCCTCCCCAAACTGTTCGGAGATACCTTCACTGGGGAGATGTGGACAGAAAATACCTCGTCTCTCTCTAGAGTTGGATTAATAATCCCATCTTTGACTGGAGGTGGGGATGAGAGAGAGAGAGCAGGTGTTGGCAGAGGGAAGGACTGGGGGAAAGCAAGGCAGTTTGCACTGCGTTACAGATTCAAGTCTCTGGATTGTGAAGTCATCTGGAGCTCCAAAGAAGGAAGGGGGTTTCACTGACTCGATATGAACAAGAGGAAGTACTTTAGTGGCAACCCTGTAATTCCCATAGACCGATAGGGAATGTGTCGGGAAAAAAAAGACAGTGAAGAAGCAGAGTCCCGACCTCTGTCTTAAATCTGAGTAAGATGAACTCATTCAGCTAATGCCACTTCAAGTACAATCATGAACACAGATGGAGCTGCAGAAATTCATACTAAAGAATGGGATCAAGCAGCCTGTCATCTTGGTCCCCAGGCACCTTCCCCTTTAAAAGTTACCCAGGAAACCTCTCTGAGGACTGGAATTGAAGGTGAGGCCCAAGCCACCTCTCCTCCCCCAGTACAATACCCTTCCAGGACAGCCTGATGAATTAAGACGTCTGTTGGAAGTTTAATAGGAGGGATGTGGAAAAGGGAAAAGCACTGAGATTTGGAAAAGCTAGCAGCTAGAGCCAGAAACAAGGTTAGGGTCCTTGTGGCATCTGGAACTGGGGGCAGAAGAACGGAAAGGGAAGGGAAAGAGGCGATGGGGTCCTGCTGTCCTTTGGCTTTATCCTTCCCTTGCCTCCCGTTCCTCCCCACAGTTCATGCAGCTGTTGGCCTGCTAGAGGGGATGTAATGCCCAGACCAATTTTTTATTAAGCTTATGCAGCTAACAGACTTGTAAACAGTGCCAATTGACAAAGTTCTGCTGAGTATTACAGCTCGTGTCCACTAAACACACCTCTCTCTGACATCAAAAACAAGAGACCAAAGTAAACAAATACTGAGAGAGAGGATGAAGAGACACGTCTTGAGTCTTCCAGGAAGGCAAAATAGAAGACCGCCACACGGCTTGGTCCCAGGCGTTCGGCATGCCTAGCGTGCTACCACCGCCACGTCCCCCTCCCCGCCAGTGGCTAGTACGGGTCAGGGAGAAGGGCCATCGCTGGCACGTTGCAGACACAGCATTTGCTGGTGTTGACACCCTCCTGGAGCTGTGGTGGCAGACTGCTGTGTCAGGAGCCCATCTCCTGGGAGTAGCGGAGGGAGCCCGGGTCCCGGAGGCAGCCCAAGATGGCAGCCCGTTCACCCCAGCGGGGTGACCTCGCCCCTCTTCTCCAGTGCAGTTCAGCATTGAGGTTGTCTATTCCTGGTCAGCGGTAAAACCTGAGCTGTTTTCCTCGCGGGTTCCCCCTCCCTTCCCCAACTTGGGGGAGTGGTAGGAGGGGGTGGGGGAGGATCACTGAGGGGGCAGGGGGATGCCCCGGGGATCGGTGACCTGGCCCTCTTGCAGGTTCTTCACCAGTTGTGCAAGCCAGCGTTTCGTGGTGGTGTCATCTTTTAGCACCTGGGCGAAGGTCGTGTCCTTCAGCTGGTCAGGGAGGCACTGCCTGAGCGCTTCACGTGCCCTACATCAGAGACAAACAAGCCAACCAGGGAGACCAGCAAATAAACCCACATTTGGGGGACAGGGAAAAAGCCCTTTCATAGACATAAATATACAGAATCCCGGGAATATGAGGTTCAGTCAAGTTATCTTAAGAATCCATTAAAATTCCTTACAACTTGTATTAGCTATGGGCTCAGATCTCCAGGGTCTATCACCTGTGAACATTTTCAGGATGATGGCTCAATGTGGAATTCCAAGACACAGCAAAATGGAATGAAATGGTGCAACAGTTCAATTCACTGATTTATTCCATTAAATAATGTCAATATGCTCATGGTAAAAATCGATGGGTTATAGTAAATGAAACAGTTCCAAAATCAGTACATGAATAGGGGAGATGACCCAACTCACAGTATGATAAATTAGTGAACTTTAATTCTAAATTAATATGATTTTGTGTCTTTCTAAAAACTGCCTCAGTTTCTTTTTCTCTTTCCTTTTTTTAAAAAGTAAGTTCTATGTCCAATGTGGGGCTCAAATGAATGACTCTGAAATCAAGAATCACATGCTCTACTGACTGAGCCCACCAGACGCCCCTGCTTCAGTTTTATAACTAAAATGCTTAATAAGAGATGAGATGTAAAAACAAATCTATGGTGGCAACACTATCAGATGAACTTTCAAATGTTTCACTTTCTTTAAAAGATGACCAGTGGAAAGTGAAATCTGAAAACCTCCAAAAGATAAATGCTAATGGTTTATAAAACTGCTTTAAATAGTTATAGCTTTTGTACTCAGACTAGTTTAAAGAAACATATTTTCAAACTGAAGAAAATTGGAACCACTGAAGAACAGGAAAAAATGATGAAGAAACAGCTCGGGCTTGAATAACCTCAGGGGCAGAAGGCTGAGCTCACATTAAATCGAGTTATCCCCACTCCTAGGAACACAGAAATTGCCCCATTATGTGGTTTAGCAGAACCTAAGCAAGTGGCTTTCAGCATGAATTATGGATTTACAAAGCAAAAGGTCAAACACTTCTAAAATGCACTGTATCTACAATGTATGATTTCTGACAGAAAGATTATGAACATAGGGAGATAAAATAATTAGCTCAATGACTTTACAGGAATCAGAGAACTGAAAATATAATTCAAGTGCCCTCTGGGCTCCATTCCTTTCTTACGAGATCTTTGAAAATATACTTATCATCCTGACCACCTGGGGCAGCAACAGAGAGCTCAAACCACAGGAGTAATGTATCATAAGGATCCCTGGGAACTGTCTGGACTCTCTGGAATTCCAGAGGAGGGTACAGAGTGACAGAGAGAAAACTCTGATGGGCTTTTTTAAAAGTACGCTCTGTGCCCAGCGTGGAGCTTGAACTCACGACTCCGAGATCAAGAGCCACATGCTCTACTGGGCCAGCCAGGCATCCCCAAAACTCTGATGGATTTTTAAATTTAGCACTTCAGATTTTAAAAGGATTTAATCAAGTTCTGCCAGACTAATTATCGTTATATCCCTTCCCAACCCTAAAGATACAGGAACTATGCCATGAGATGAGGCAACTATTCACCAGGGCATTTCCCCAAAGTCCTAGAAATCCTATAAATGTTTACCTGGGGTTATCTGAGAGTCGCAGGTAACACCTCACTACGTGCTTCAGCAGACGGGCGGAAGGCTCTTTGGAGAGCTGCAGGACCATCTTACCCTGTTTTCCCCCAGAAAGGGTTGGGGTAGGAAAAAACACACAGACACAAAATAATCCCAGTTGACATCAGAGATCAGATATTTTAAGAATCGTCACACAAGGTTCCAAGAAGCTGTTCAGTGTCGGCTGCAAAGGGACTAAGCTGTGTGATCACAAGTAACTTCAAAGGGGTTAGATGAAAGAACTCACCAGGATCATGGCAACGTGGGAGAAACGCTCGTATGTCTGACATATATATGCCAAACCTGTGTCATCTAAGAGGATTTTCTGGAGGATAAATGTGGCAACCTGGAGTAAAAACAAAAATTAAGGAGTCCAAAACGTTGCTCAGACTTGTCTTCCAATGGTCGATTCATTGTCCAGGAAGAATTGTGAAGCAGAAAATTAAGCAGAGACCCCAACCATATGTGTAATGCACAGTTTAAACAAAATTAATAATAAACACATTACCATAGTGAATACTTACTGTGTGCCAAAGTATTTCCTAAAGGTATAACATGCCTTCTTTTTTTTTTTTTTTTTTTAAGATTTTATTTATTTATTTGACAAAGCACATCACAGCAGGGGGAGCAGCAGGCAGAGGGAAAGGGAGAAACAGGTTCTTTGCTGAGCAGGGAGCCCAATGCAGGACTCGATCCCAGGACCCTAGGATCATGACCTGAGCCGAAGGCAGACACTTAACCAACTGAGCCACCCAGGTGCCCCTGCCTCATTTTCACAATAAACCTATGAGGTAGGTACCACTGTTACTCTCTTTTTACGTAAAAGAGTAGGTTCTGGGTAATTATGAAATTCTTTAAAATGTAGATACTTTTTCAGTTACCAAACACTGTGTGCCAGGCATAAGCGCTAATTAATAACTTGTCAGGTTAAGGTCCCAAGTGACAAAACCTCGAAGTTGTAGAGTTGAGGTCCAAACCTCCTCTGAATACAGAGCTTTTCCTCTTTTTCCATGAACAAAGATGAGTTTAGAAATTCAGCTGTGCCTCATCTCTTCCAAATGAGGTAATCAGAGCTTTGCCTACTCTTTTTTTTTTTTTTTTTTTTTTTTTTTTAAGTAGGCTCCATGCCCAGTATAGAGCCCAGTGCAGCACCTGAACTCATGACTCGGAGATTGAGACCTGAGCTGGGATCAAAACGCTTAACTGATTGAGCCACCCAGGGGCTCCAGGCTTTTTCTACTTTTAAAAGATCTTTAAAAATTAAGATTTTGAAGCCTCCCTTCTAACACTATTCCAACAATAGTAAAGAATATCCGCAATTTTATCTGGCCTTTTCCAACGATGTGGATGGAACTAGAGGGTATTATGCTAAGTGAAGTAAGTCAGAAAAAGACAATTATCATATGATCTCATTGATAGGTGGAATTTGGGAAACAAGGCAGAGGATCACAGGGGAAGAGAGGAAAAATTGAAACAAGACAAAACCAGAGAGGGAGACAAACCATATGACACTCTTTATCTCAGGAAACAAAAACTAAGGGAGGATGGAGGGGAGAGAGTGGGAGGGATGGGGTGGCTGGGTGATGGGCACTGGGGAGGGTATGTGCTATGGTGAGTGCTGTGAATTGTGTAAGACTGATGAATCACAGTCCTATACCTCTGAAACAAACATTATAGGTTGATTTTAAAAAATTACCTGTATACACACATACACATACACACATAAGAATATCCTCAATTTAAATTCAATTAACTCTTGCACAGAAGGGACTAAAAAATACTAGCTTAATTCAAGTCAAACAATTATTTTAATGACTCCCTTCCTTGGCTGCTCATCAGAACCAGCTGTGGCAACTGTTTTATTTTATTCTACTATTTTACTTGGGTATAAAATTGTGGTTGAGCTAAATAATGGCCCCCAGAGATATCCAGGTCCCAATAACCAAACTCGGTGAATGCTACCTTCTACAGAAAAAGTGACTCTGCAAAAGTGATTAAGGATCTTGGGGACAGGGTTGCCTGGCTGGCTCAGTTGGAAGAGCACATGACTCTTGATCCCAGGGTTGTAAGTTTGAGTCCTATCTTCAGTGTAGAGATTATTAAAAAAAAAAAAAAAAAAAAAAAAAAAAAAAAAAGATCTTGGGGAGATGAATCATTCTCGATTATCCAGGAGGGCCTTAAACAGAATTTCAAGTGTCCTTATAAGAGGGAGGTGGAGGGAGATTTGATCACATAGGAGAAAGCGATATGACAGAGCACAAAGAGATCTGAACACGTTACACAGCTGGCTTTGAAGATGGAGGAGGAGAGCGTGAGCCAAAGAATGTAATTCTCAAAGCTGGAAAAAGCTAAGAAAGGCATGCTCTCCTAGAGGCTCCAGAAGGAATACTGCGCTACCAACACTCTGACTTTAGCTTGGTGAAACTGATTGATAATTTTTAAGTTGCAGAACTGTAAGAGAACAAATTTGTGTTGTTTTAACCACCAAGCGTGGGCATTTGTCATGGGAACGAGAGGAAATACACACAGTAAAATGTGTACAGTGCTTGAAGTGCACTATCTTCAGTGTATTTTTTTTTTAAAGATTTATTTATTTGACAGACAGAGATCACAAGTAGCCAGAGAGGCAGGTGGAGAGAGAGGAAGGGAAGCAGGCTTCCTGCTAAGCAGAGAGCCCGATGTGGGGCCCAATCCCAGAACCCTGGGATCATGACCTAAGCCGAAGGCAGAGGCTTTAACCCACTGAGCCACCCAGGCACCCCTCTTCAGTGTATCTTAATGCATTTTTACCTATGTACACATTTAGGAACCACAAGCAGATTAAAATACAAAAGATTTCCAGCACTCCAGGAGATTCCGTTGTGCCTTTTCTCAGTCAATACCCTTCCCTGAGAGGGTGCCAAGGTGACTCAGTCAAGTGTCCAAATTTGGCTCAGGTCATGATCTCAGTGTCTTGGGATGGAGCCCCAGATCAGGCTCTGCGCTGAATGGGGAGTCTGCTTTGCCCTCTCCCTCTGTCCCTTCTCCTGCTTGAGCACGTTCTCTCTCAAATAAATCTTAAACCAAAACAAAACAAAAAACACCATAAACCCTTCCCTGAGAAGTAAACACTGTTCAGACGGATCCTCACTGAGTGGTTTTGCCCATTCTTGACTTTCACTTAAATGGAATCATACAGTACGAATTCATGCATGTGCTGGCTGCTCTTGCTCAATATATAAGCATCAACTATCTCTAGGAGCATCCCCATGAGCACCAACTATCCTGCCTCTATCAGTATTCTTCCTCATTACTGTGGAGTTGATTCTGTGGCTATACTACAATTTATCTTTTATGAATAATGCTGTTATAAACATTCTTCTACATACTGTGATGTACATAAGAACTCCTTTCTCTTGGCCAATACACCCAAGAGTGGGACTGCTGGGTCACAGCATAGGATTATGCTGATGGTGGATACTGCCAGATGGTCTCCCAAAATGGTTACATCATACTCTCACCTGGGGGGGAGTTTTTAAAAAACACCAATGTCCAGGGCGCCTGGGTGCCTCAGTGGGTTAAGCCTCTGCCTACGGCTCAGGACAAGATCTCAGGGTCCTGGGATCGAGCCCCGCATCAGGCTCTCTGCTCAGCACGGAGCCTGCTTCCCCTCCCTCTCTGCCTACTTGTGATTTCTATCAAATAAATAATAAAATCTTTAAAAAAAACAAAACAAAACACACCAATGTCCAGACTTTATCACCATAGAGAATGACTCAGTAGGTCAGAGATGGGGCCTGGGCAAGTCCGGTTTTAAAACCCTTCACTGGGGTGCCAGGGTGGCTTAGCCAATTGAGTGTCAGACTCTTGATTTCAGCTCAGGTCATGATCTCAGGGTTGTGGGATCAAGTCCCGCGTTGAGCTCTGCACTGGGCATGGAGCCTGCTTAAGATTCTTTTTTTAAAGATTTTATTATTTGAAAGAGAGAATGAGAGAGAGAGAGAGAGAGAGAGAGCAAGCATGAGAAGGGGGAGGTCAGAGGGAGAAGCAGACTCTCTGCCAAGTAGGAAGCCTGATGCGGGACTTGATCCCGGAACTCCAGGATCATGACCTGAGCTGAAGGCAGTTGCTTAACCAAATGAGCCACCCAGGTGCCCCGGCTTAAGATTCTTTCCCCCTGCTCCCCACTGCCCCCGTACCCACTCTCCCCTCAAAAAACAAAAACCACTTCACAGGTGATCATTCCACACATCCCTAATTGAGACCCTCTGCTTTAGGGAGCACCTACTAGAGCAAGGTGTTAGACTAAGTATTGTACATAAAAAGCAAATGTGGTAAGGTCTCTGCCTGCATGGAGCAAAGGAAGACAAGCCAGGAGCTATTCACCATACCAAGCAGGATATGCCATATAAGCTAATGGGAACCTACATGTACTCAGAATGGATTAACTCCAGTAATGCACAAAGAAGGTAAACAGGGATCATTAGAATGAGGCTCCTGAAAAAAGGAGAGATGCCACAAAAGAAAGGGGTCTTTTTCTACTCCATCTATAAGAAACCAACTTGAAAAACCTATTCACAGGCAACCACTAATATAAGATGACAGAGTACAGTTGTATCCATTCTGAATCTGCCCCAGAAACCCACTGAAATTAACAAAACCCTCTAAAATTAAGGAAGAAATGAGACAGGCACACATATAGATCCAACCGTCACTTACCCTTTATGTGTTTAAGCAGAAAAATGAATACAGAGGTATAGATACCTCTCTAACACATATACCCCAGACTGGTAGTGTGGGTAGAAAATACTCAGAGGTAAAACACTTGATTTAAAAGTATGCCAGTTTGTGGGACGCCTGGGTGGCTCAGTTGGTTAAGCCACTGCCTTCGGCTCAGGTCATGGTCCTGGGATCCTGGGATCGAGTCCCGCATCGGGCTCCTTGCTTGGCAGGGAGCCTGCTTCCTCCTCTCTCTCTGCCTGCCTCTCTGCCTGCTTGTGTATACTCTCTCTCTCTGACAAATAAATAAAATCTTAAAAAAAAAATAAAAAAAAAATAAAAGTATGCCAGTGTGAGCTCCTACCACCTTGCTTTCCATCCATTATTTTTAAACAAATAGCGATCTTGGGTAGAATTGCTCCCAACTGAAGACGTTTGCACAGACATACTTGGAGAAGAGGTAACAAGTAATAATTACCTACATTTTCAAAGAAATTGAAGAAAACATGGATTTTAAAAAATATCAAAAAACAATTCAAAAAGGATAAAAATTTCGAAGAAGAGCTGAAAAGACACGAGAAGTGAGAAGGCAAACACTAAGGAAAATATCAATACAAAATTAAGCTGTAACACACACACACACACACACACACGTATAAACTACTTCCAGAAAGATACAAGAAAGTGGTAATGCTGGTTACTTTCAGGGAGAATTGAGAGGCTGAGGTAGGAGACTTACTTTTATTTGTACTACTTGAATTTTCTACTTTGTATCTGTAACACGTTTAAAGTTTATTTTTTTAAGTAATATTTACACCTAACATGGGACTTGAATTCACAAACCTGAGATCAAGAGCCACGTGCTCTTCTGATTACCAGGTGCCCCTGTATTGCATGTTAAAAATACAAAATTTTAAAAATCATTACATCTGCTTACATCCAACTCAGCATTAAATATTAATTAATTCAATGTGACTGCGCATACTATAGAAGCAGAGGTTGGATATTGCTAAAAATAGCAACATGGAAAAGTAGCCTTGAGAAAAAAAAAAATGACATAAAATAAAGCAGAAAGCTATTAGAGGGGAAAAAAGATAGAAAAGATATATAATATAGCATGTCTGAGGGACGCCTGGGTGGCTCAGTTGGTTAAGTGTCTGCCCTTGGCTCGGGTCATGATCCCAGGGTCCTGGGAACAAGTCCTGCGTTGGGCTCCCTGCTCAGCAGGAAGCCTGCTTCCCCCTCTCTCTCTGCCTGCCTACTTGTGATCTCTCTGTCAAAAAAAAAAAAAAAAAAAAAAAAAATATATATATAGCATAACTGATGTTGCCGAAGTGAGAGGCCAAAACAAATGAAAAATACTATGAAAATTAACAAGAGACACGAAGAATATGCTCTTTTGGAAAAAAATTTGATGTAAGATTATCAAATGAACATAAAATAATAAAATAATAAAAGCTTACAGACATCCACACAGAAAAAGCATATTCACCAAGAAAAGGAAAAACTTAGGCTGCCCCAAGATTTCACTGTATATTCAATATCAGAAGACAACAGAGCTATGGCAACAGAGTTCTGACAGAGAAAATTATGTAAGAACTTTATACCCAGTCACGTTGTCATTCATGGTTAAAAATCAAAGTAAGCAGAAGCTCAAATATGTATACACTTGAGTGTGCATTAAAAAATGTCTGGAATAATGAGTGCCTGGGTGGTTCACTCTTATAAGTGTCTGTCTTCGGCTCAGGTCATGATCCTAGAGTCCTGCGATCAAGCCCTGTGTCAGGCTCTCTGCTCAGTGGGGAGCCTGCTTCTCCCTCTCCCCCGCTGCTCATGCTCTCTCACGCATGTATGCACTCTCTCTCTCAAATAAAGAAATTAAAAAAAAAAAAAAACGTACAGAATAATACACCTTTGGAAAAGTGGGTTCAGAGAAAAGGGAGAAATTCACTGTTTAACTTTATATTCCTCTTAAGGGTTGGGGTTTTTAAATGATCATTTTTAAACAATTTTTATCTAAAAGAAAATAAATACAGGGAAGTTTCAAAAAGCCCAAGGGACACAGAAAATGATCCTAGGACCATGAAGCAGTCCAAGAGCCAACACAATACAGAATCTAAGTTGAAAAGCACATACCGTTTTGGAAAGTTCACTTCCAGATTCCATAATGCGCAAACACAAAGGGATAATTTCTGTTGTCAATAAAAAGTTGATTACTTCCTGCTCATCTGTTTTCACTAGGGCCCCTAAAGAAAATATGGACAAACAAAATTGTTTCAGAGTCAGGGTTTTTAATGAAAATGAACTTTGTAGGGTTCATCCAGCTAGTTGTGGAACTTAAATAACAGAGAACACAAACTGGGGTTCATGCCAGAGAATCCGATTCAAACTGATATTTAAAAAAAAAAAAAAAAAAAAAAAGAAAAGAAAAGGAAGAGAAAGCCCACGGTGACTGAAATGTATCGGTCAGCATTTAAAAGATCAGGTACCAAGTTTGGTCCACCACATAGTTAGCAGCAGGTCAGCCCTCTAAATCATTTTTCTATCACTCTTGGTAGACAACCACACAATAATATCACCATCTATTCTCCATTTATTTTAGGTAAGAGAGAAGAATTTCCTATCAGTAGAAAAGGATATTCGGACATAAACAAACATTGCTTCTTGGTTGTTTAACTGTCACTTTCTTGAAGAAGTGCACACATGGAAGGGTATACCCAAATAACACACACACACACACACTCTAATCCTAGTTCCACAACTAGTTTGCCTAAATTTGTAAAAGTTACCACCTCTTTACAGGCCTCTGTTTATCTATAAAATAAGAATTGGAACAAATGATTTTTAAAATTCATTCCAATTCTATTCTGTTGAGTTTTAACCTGACACCATTGACCAGGCAACAGACATAGTTCAGTGTTAATTTCTCCATTCTGTACATATGGAAGCAGAGCCCCATTAAACAAATGACTGGTTCCCAAGCTGCCCAATGTATCAACTAGCTTTTATACGAAAAGGCCTAGATTAATCAGATCTGTAATAACCAAAATCAATCACTTTAGAAGAGAAAGGAGTATCATTTAACAAGAACTGGCAATCTACAAATGCTACATCTTTAAATGCCACAGCAACCAGCATATACCATAATTCACTAATATGCCCTAAAGCAGATGTCCAATTACTATTTCATTTTAACTTTACATGTAGGTCTAAAATCCATTCTGAGTTAATTTTTTTTTTAAAGATTTTATTTATTTGACAGAGAGAAACAGCGAGAGAGGGAACACAAGCAGAGGGAATGGGAGAAGGAGAAGCCGGCTTCCGGCCAAGCAGGGAGCCCGATGCAGGGCTCGAACCCAGGACCCTGGGATCATGACCTGAGCCGAACACAGCCGCTTAATGACTGAGCCACCCAGGTGCCCCCATTCTAATTTTATATACAGTACAAGGTATAGATCATGGTTCCTTGTTTTACATATGGATATCTAATTGTTCCAGCACCATTTATTGAAAAGACTATCCTTTCTCCACTAAACTGTCTTTGTACCTCTGTCAAAAATCAATTAACCGGGGCGCCTGGGTGGCTCAGTGGGTTAAAGCCTCTGCCTTTGGCTCAGGTTATGATCCCAGGTCCTGGGATGGAGCCCTGCATTGGACTCTCTGCTTGGCAGGGAGTCTGCTTCCCTTCCTCTCTCTCTGCCTGCCTGTGATCTCTGTCTGTCAAATAAATAAATAAAATCTTTTAAAAAAAAATCAATTAACCATATCTGTATGGGTCAACTTCTGGACTCCCCAGTTCTGCTCCATTGATCTAGAAGTCTAGCTTTTCTCCAATACTATACTATCTTGACAACTGGTTTTCCAGTAGGTCTTGAAATTAGGTAGTATACATCTTCCAGCTTTGTCCTTCTTTTTAAAAACTGGTATTCTAGGGGTGCCAGGGTGGCTCAGTTTGTTGAATGACCGACTCTTGGTTTTAGCTCAGGTCACGATCTCAGGGTCCTGGGATTGAGCCCCATGTTGGGCTCTGCTTCCCCTCTTCCCCTGCCCCTCCCCGGGCTCACACATACTCTCTCTAAAATAAATAAATAAATCTTTTAAAACAAACCAAAAGAAACCCTGGATATTCTAGTTCATTTGCCTCTCCACGTAAATTTCAGAAAGAGCCTGTCAGTTTCCATGAAAAAAAAGTTCTGGGATTTTGTTGGAATTGTCCTAACCCTATACAACCAGTCTGGGGAGAACGAACATCTCAACAATACTGAATCACTGATATACCAATCAATGAACACGGTATATCTCTGCATTTATTTGGGTTTTCTTTGAGTTCTTTCATCATTGCCTTGTAGTTTTTTAGCTATAGATCTTGCACATCTTTTGTAAGACTTACATCATGTTTTGGTGCTATTACAAATGGTAGGTTTTTAAATTTTCAATTTCTGACTGTTTTAGCTAGCACATAAAAATGAACAATCTAATTTTTTTCTAATTTGTATGTCTTTCATTTTTTTCTCTTGCCTTATTGCAACAGGTAGGATTTCCAGGATGATACTGAGCGGGAGTGGTGAGAATAAATATCTTTGTCTTGTTCTCAATTTTGGGGGGACAATGCTTGGTTTTTCACATTAACTGTGATCTTAACTGTAGGATTTATTTTTTAAACTTATTTGAATTGAGAAAGTTCCCTCTATTTCTACTTTGCTGGAGTTTATATCATAAATGGATGCTGAGTACCATCAAAGGCTTTTTATTTTTTAAACTAAAGAAATGGTTATACATTGTTTCTTCTTTAGTCTGTTTATATGGCCAACTATATTGACTGATTTTTTTTTTAAGATTTTATTTTTAAATAATCTCTATATTCACTATAGGTCTTGAATTCACAACCCTGAGATCAAGAGTTGCATACTTTAGCAACGGAGTCAACCAGACACCCCTGTATTGACTGACTTTTTTTTTTTTTTTAAAGAATTTATCTATTTGACAGAGAGAGATCATAAGTAGGCAGAGAGGCAGGCAGAGAGAGAGAGGGAAGCAGGCTCCCCGCTGAGCAGAGAGCCTGATGCGGGGCCCGATCCCAGAACCCTGAGATCATGACCTGAGCCGAAGGCAGAGGCTTAAACCACTGATCCACCCAGGTGCCCCTGTATTGACTGACTTTTGAAAGTTAAACCACCATGCGTTCCTGGGATAAACCCACTTCATCATGATGATCCTTTTTACATTTTGTTGGACTTGATTTGTTAACATTTTGTTGAGAATTTCTGAATCTATGTTTTTGAGGGATAGAGGCCTATAGTTTTCTTATAATGTCTTTTTCTGGTTTTATTTCAGAGTAATTAATGCTGGCCTCATCAAGAGTTTAGAAGTCTCTATGTTCTGGAAAAGTTTTGTGGAATTGGTTATTTCCGCTTTAAATTTTTGTTAGACTTCATCAGTGAAATCACTTGGGCCCGGAGTTTTCTATGATGGAAGGTTTTTAACTACAAAAACAAATTAATAGATGTAAAACTATTCAGATTGTCTATTTTCGCTTGAGTATAGTCCGGCAGACTGAATCTTTCATAAAATTTGTCCATTTCACCTAAGTTGTCAAATTTACGGGCTTAGAGTTATTAGCAGTACTCATTATTCTTCTAATGTCTATACAGTCTGTTATAACATACACCTTTTCATTCCTGGAACCTGTAATTTGTGTTTTCTTTTTTTCTCCCAGTCTATCTGGTTAGAGGTTTATTAATTCCACTGAATTTTTTTTAGTAAAAAACTGGGGATGGGTGAATGGGTAAGGGTGGTCAAAAAGTATGAAACCTTCGGTTATAAAGAAGCCCTGCAGATGTAATGTACAGTGACTATAGTAACAATATTGTATTGCATATTTGAAAGTTGTTAAGATGATAAATCTTAAAGGTTTTCATCACAAGAAAAAAAAATTTTAACTATGTGTGGTGCTGGATTTTTTAAAGATTTTAAGTAATCTCTACACCCAATGTGGGACGTGAACTCAGCCCCGAGATCAGGAGTCCCATGCTCCGTCAACTGAGCCAGCCCATGTGTGGTGATGGATGTTAATGCAGTCATCATTCTCCAATATATACAAATATCTTTTTTATCCCCCTACAGTTAACTTTATCCTAACATCTCCTAATGCATCATCTGCCTGTTGTGGTCAAAAATACCAGCAGAACTAGGACAATTTAAATTGGAATTAATGATAGAACTGTTTTCTTTTGGCTTACTCATGTTTTAAATCCTACATGAGAAATTTTTATACTTAAAATTATAAAATATATTGGGGAAAAATGTTTCTAACTAAGACTACTACTTTGGAGGGGATGTAAAAAACAGTAACATTCATGTGGAGTACAGGAGATAGCAGCTACTCCTTAAATGTACAATAAAATGTTTCTGAGAAATATGTCTCAGAAATACTAAACTTTTCAACTGGTAAGAACAGACATTACACTTGATCTTAACCAAAAGGTCGAGAAGCGATAGAAGTATTAAACTCTTACAGTATACTTCCTGACCTATGGTTTATAATTATAGGGATATGAAAACAGGTTGAACATAAACACAATAACCAAAGTTTATACAATCGATGTTCTTACTGTTTGGCCAGCATGTGAGCAAAAACTATGAGAAAAAGACACTGAAGGGAATTTAAAAAGAAACCCTTCTTGAATGTATTTATTTTTCATAAATCCAAAGACAGTTCTTTATTATCTGGGAGTCTAAGCTCTGAAACAGCTAATATATTATTTTGTTGAGTAAAATGTACTTTAGACACATCTCCTATAGTAAATATACATAGAAACATTACCTTTGGCATGCAAAAATTTAAGAAGGTGAAATAGAGGATGAACATCTGTAGTTATAGGACAAAACAACCCAAGCAGGCACCACACTCAGAACAGAACCCAATAGGGGCTCAGTCTCACAACCCTGAGATGATGACCTGAGCTGAAATCAAGAGTTGCACACTTAACAGACTGAGCCACCCAGGCATCCCCCTCCAAAAAAAAACCAACTCAAATTCTTATTTCTGCAATAATACTCTTTGTTGACTTCAGCTTGTTCTTTATTCTCCCTATGATTCCGGTAATTGTTTCTACACATATGCTGAATTTAATCCCAAATGCTGGGTCTTCACACCCTTATTAACAACAATCAGAATGGTACTTGGTAAGAACCACTGTATTACTTATTTACTTATTACTTAATAAATATTTATTATTTATTACTATTTATTATTATGCCCTCATTAGTGAAAATAGACTCAACCTCGAAGACAAAAATGAACAATTGGGGAACAAAAGCTATAAAAAACAAAACACCAAAGATTTCAGACTTGCAAAACCACCCCAATAACTTACCAATAACTCCAAGACTGGTTAGCCGAAGGTACTCAAAGGGCCGTGTTTTGCTGACGGTGTGCAAAAAGGGGTACAAAAAAAGTGGGATGTGTGCTGCAAGAAATGCTGACCTGGAAGAAAAACATAATCCCAATCAGAGCTCAGAGTTCATTTCTAAGGATTCTGAACATTCAATTTCCAGGCAGTTTATTTTGTTAGGGCCTGTAATGTCACCTAACCAAGGAATCTCTAGAAAAGAGTTGTTGGTCATTAGTTAGACCAGCGGTTCTTAGCTGGGGTGATTCTGCTCATCAGGGTACGTGTGACAATGTCTGGAGATATTTTTGGTTGTCACAACCAATGGGGTGCTACTGGCATCCAGTGAGCAGAGGCCAGGAATGCTGCTAAACATCCAACAGTGCACAGGAGAGCCCCCTTTCCTCCCCTTCCTCCCACCACAAAATCTAGCTCAAAATGGCAATGTAACGGTTAAAAAAATCTACTCTAGGTTTATGGTTAAGAGAATACAAAATTTTCCCTGTAATTAGTACCAAGTTCCTAAAAAACTAATAAAATATCCAACTGTGGATTTTAAAAAAATAGGTCATAAAAATGCTATTAACTGCCCAGGAGAATCTCCTAGGTGCCTTCCCTCACCTAATTTATGACTGAATAATAATATTCACAGGTAAAGTCAGACAAAACATTATAAACCAAGATGAAGAAACAAAGCAGCCATTATGAGATTTATCTGCTATGTTTCTTTTTTTTTTTTTAAGATTTTATTTATTTATTTGACAGAGAGCACAAGTAGGCAGAGAGGCAGGCAGAGAGAGAGGAGAAAGCAGGCTCCCCGCTGAGCAGAGAGGCCGATGTGGGGCTCTATCCAGGACCCTGGGATCATGACCTGAGCCGAAGGCAGAGGCTTTAACCCACTGAGCCACCCAGGTGCCCCTATCTGTTATGTTTCAATGCACACTGTTCTTTTTTTGTTAGAGTAGTTCTGATATACTAAGTATTCTAAAAACATTTTAAAGATTTACTTATTTTAGAGAAAGAGAGCACACATGCAAGGGGGGGAGGAACAGAAGGGGAGGGAGAGGGAAGGGAAAGAATCCCAAGCAGATTCCATGCTGAGTGTGGAACCCAACTTGGGGCTCGATCTCATGACCCTGAGATCAAGACCTGAGCTGAAACCAAGAATTAGAGGCCTAACCAACTGAGCCACACAGGTGCCCCTCTAAAAACATTGTAATCTGAAGCTAGTATCTCAGGCAACTAATATAGAACCAATCTATTACTTTGTATTATTTATAGATAACTAATCTTATGGGAGAACAAACTCTTTAAATTTTTAACACTCAAAGTACTCTTGCATTTTCCTTAAGTGCTTAAGAATAATTTTCACAGTAACTTCTCTGAAATTCTGTGATGTCAGTGCCAACTTAACACTCAGATTTTATAATTGATAAAGAGACAAAAGACTTTAATAAGATGACTGTTAAATGCCTTAGAACCATAAAGGTCACAAAACAGGATTATTGAACAGGATTTCCCTTTTCTTATCAGATGTAGCATGCCAACTGGCATGCCAATTCTGATCTGTTACCAGATTACCTAGGATCCTGTGTTAAGAAAGATTATGAAGCCAAACTAGGTTCAATGGGAAAAAAATATTGGGGTCAAATATTTACTGAACTGGTAGTAAATGCCATGCACTGTGCCTTACATAGGGATGCCTACCACGGATTCAGGAGGAAGAAATATCTACATGCCTGATCTTTCTTGAGATGTGAACATCACTCTTACTTTAATTTTTTTAATAATAAACTCTACCCCCAATGTGGGGCTTGAACTCATGACCCTGAGATCAAGAATCACACGCTCTACTGACTGAGTTGGCCACAGACCCCGTGAACACTCCTTAATAGTTCATTGCTATAAATGGATGGGTAAAAAGTAAATGAGACAATGGATTATTATTCAGCCTTAGCAAGGAAGGAAATTCCGACATCTGCTACAATATGGATGTTACACTAAATGAGATAAGCCAAGCACAAAAAGACAAATACTGAACGATTCCATTTAACTAAGGTAGTAGAGTAGTCAAAATCAAAGAGACACAAAGTAGAATGATAGTTACAGGGGGTATGGTAATGGGCAATTACGGTTTAATGGGTACCGTTTTAGTTTTACACTATGAAAAGAGTTAAGGAGATGTATGGTGGGGATAGTTGCCTATTATAAATATATTTAATACTACTGAACTCTATGCTTAAAGATGGCTGAAATGGTAAGTTTATGTCATATATATTTTACCATAATAAAAAAAACTTAGAACTAATAAACAATACTATACTGGTACTACATGAAAACTTGGTGAATTAGAGAAGAGAAATTCTTCAGGGGAAAAAAAATCAGACAAGAATCCTCAAGATCCACATCTACGCACGTGCTTCCTACTCCTATTGCATGTCCTTCCGCTCATCAATCAGAAAAAGACCATATTTGATACAAACCTCCATTGCCAGACTCATCCAAGCACTCACCTGGTTTCTGGGTGTGATGCCACACATTGTAGTAATGCCAGAGCATTGCAAACTCTATTAGACTGGTGTGCTGTCAAAGTGGGTGGGTTGATAGATGGATAAATATTTACAATTTCCTAAAAAATGGAAACCAGCACCAGATGAATAAAGAATAACTATTTCACAATTAATTTTGATGGTATTAAAGCAAAACCCTACAAACCCCAACCCTTAATTCCATATATCCTGTAGCTGAATCATCAAAGTCCAAGCAAAAATAAGTAATGCTCCTATCTTTTCATCACAAATACACCTGAGACTATGTGACATTTCTACATAGGTCTCTAGAAGATTCCTCTGGAGGAAACTGTGGTCACCTATATTTCCTCTTACATCCAGCATCTGTGGAGGCCTTTGCTTGAGGGGCTGTGGCTGTTATAATCCCTTCTTTTTGTTAACACCCTATTTTAAGTTACCATGAGTAGATAATTGGTCAGATAATAAGTGTCAGTAAATCAGCCACAGTACTTAGAAAGCAGTCTGAGTTTGGTCAGGTAGCAACTACAAAAAGGGAGAGATAAGAATAGGAATATATGCAGTGAATATGTATAATCTCTATCCAAAGGGGATGATTTGCTGTATACAATTCCTTTTATTTTAACTGTAAAACTGTTATTGAAAATGTTCCTATAAAAAAGATTAGTTTTGGGGATTAAGAATATACCTATTGTGATAAGCAGTGAGTACAGAATTGTTCAACTGTTGAATCATTATGTTGAACACCTGAAACTAATAGAACATCGTATGCTAACTATACTTAGTTAAAAAAGAGGTTAGTTTCAGGCACCTGGGTGGCTTAGCTGGGTTAAGTGACTGCCTTCAGCTCAGGTCATGATCCCAGAGTCCTGGTATTGAGTCCTACATTGGGCTCCCTGCTCAGCGGGGAGTCTGTTCTCCCTCTCACCCTCTGCCCTCTCATGTTCTCTCACTCTCTGTCTCTCAAATAAATAAATAAAATCTTTAAAAAATAAAAATAAAAAATAAATTTTAAAAAGATTAGTTTCTTGGCTACATGAAGTAGGAACTGAATGCAAATTTACATAACAGATTTGAAAAATTATTGGGAATTTTAGACAATACTTTAAAGGATGATTATGCCATTATCTTGGTATTTTAGGATTATACTGTATCAACTTATTCCTCACCAATGACCGTTACAGTCAGAACCACATTTCAGGGATTTATTCTTTAATGTACAAGCATACCTACTTCTAATCCTATAGCTGTTATATCTTAACATTTCTGTTCACCAGAATATACTCTGCAGTTCTTATACTCTGCCTTCCACCTTTTCTCCTATGACACCTAGAAATGTCTTGTAGTAGTCCTAAAGCTGTGTTTCTCAAAGTGTGGTTCTCAGACTGCCTGCATCAGAATGACTTAAGAATGGGGCAGCTGCTTGTTAAAAACACAGATTTTTAATCTCAGATTAAATAAATCTTTTGGGTGAGATCTATTAACCTGCATTGCAACAAGCACCTTACACTTTTCTAAAACAGATTCTTAAAATGCTAACATTTAAAGAATCATTCTACTCAAGACTTCAAAATCATTTGAGCCAAGGCAGAGAGACAGTGTGGTGAATAGGACTGACCTGCAACTCCCAGATATATACCCACCTGTAAAAGTGCTGCAATAGTACCAAAAGAATGCCACAGCATGGGTGCAAGATCAGGAACAGATTCTCGCTTCTTACTCAGCTCCAGCAAAGCGTTTTCCCTCGTCTCAGGACTGGACAGCTCATTGATCCACTGATAGATTTTTTCTCTATCTACCTGAGCCAGTGCAGTAGGCACAGGCTTTAAGTGAAAACAAGAAAGTAAACATGTGAATTTCATTAGAATCAAACCAAGTCTTACTCCGCTTTAGAAGGAATATATTTTTTTCTAAATACCAGGAGAGCTTTTCTAAATATATACACTTAAGCCAATCGATCAAAATCTAAAATGCAGGGTGCCTGTGGCTCAGTTGGTTAAGCAACTGCCTTTGGCTCAGGTCATGACCCTGGGGTTCTGGGATCGAGTCCTACATCGGGCTCCCTTTGCTCTGCGGGGAGCCTGCTTCTCCCTCTCCTGCTGCCTACCACTCACCCTGCTTGTGCTCTTGCTCTCTCTGTCAAATAAATAAATAAAATCTTTAAAAAATAAAATCTAAAATGCATACATCCTTTAGTAATTCCATGTTTAGGAATTTATCCAAGTATACTTGGGCTGTACTGAAGATACACCAGGATGTTTACTATTGCATTGTTTTGTTTTGAAGATTTTACTTATTTATTTCTCAGAGAAAAAGAGAGAGACCGAGCACAAGCAGGCAGAGTCAGAGAGAGAAGCAGGCTCCCTGCTGAGCAAGGAGCCCGATGTGGGACTCTGATCCTAGGACCCTGGGATCATGACCTGAGCCGAAGGCAGCGGCTTAACCGACTGAGCCACCCAGGTGTCCCAGCTGCATTGTTTTAAAAGCAAAATCTTGAAACAGTAAATTTCTATCAAAGGAAATTTTAAATATGTATGGGTACATCTATATTTGTAATACTATGTAGGCCTTTTTAAAAAATAGCTCTATATGTGCTGATACAAAATAAAAAAAACACAAAAAGTACAGAACCTTATATATAATCCATTAATATACACAACTGTATTCTTATATATTCATATACAATGTTTCTAGAATGACACATAACAGTAACTACAACAAAAAACTGTAATTACTGCTGAGAGATTTATATATGAGATTTACTTTTTTTTTAAAAAGATTTATTTATTTGAGAGCGAGAGCACACAAGAGAGCATGTGAGCACATGGGGTGGGGGGTGGAGGGAACAGAGGGGGAGGGAGAGGGGAAGAATCCAAGCTGACTCTGGAGGAAGACCCTAATGCAGAGCTTAATCTCAAGACCCAATCTCAAGACACTGAGGTCATGACCTGAGCCAAAACCAAGAGTTGGAAGCTCAACCAACTGAGCCACCCAGGTGCCCTAATTTACTTTTTGTTGTATACAATAAAATCTACTGCATAGCTTAAACTTTTTTAAAGCATATACCTATAATAGTTCCTGAAAGAAAACAATTTATACCCTCTCCACCCATTGCTGGTCCTTCTGCAGTAATTCCAGCATCCTCCTCCATGGAGCAGAAAACCTATGTAATTTGGAAATGCTCCCCTTCTAATGATTCTTATACATACTCTAACTCAGTCCCTTTGAGAATCACTCATTACTTACTCATGTAGGGGCCACAGAGAGAACATTCTTTCATTATTGTACTAAAGCATCACACCATTCCAAAAAAACCCGAGCATTTCTTTAATTCTCCATACTTGTCAAACAGCCTTGTGACCTTGGTTAAGTTCCTTAATTACTCTTCTGGAAAATAAGATAATAGACTAGAAAAATGATTACCATTGCTATTTCTAGTTCTAATGTCCTAACAAACTCATGATTTCTAGCTCTATGCCCAATATTTTCTCACTTAATTCCCCCAACCAAGGAGAATAGATAGGTAGACAGGGTGAATTGGTAGAAAAAAGGCAACTACACTTGTAGATGAGAGAGCTAACACTCAGAGGAATTAACCTGCTCAATTCACCAAGTATGCAGTTGCATATTCCAGTGCCTTCTTGAACTGCCATGGGAACTACAGCTTCCCATGGCATTTACACATTCCCACCACACTTTAGTGTGACAGAATGACAACCTTACCATCGTCCATACGGAAAGATGAGGAACTGAGAGGACAACTGTCTTTGTTGAAGAACAAAAGTTAAGACAGACTATGAGGTGTACTCACAATCATTCTACCCAAGCTGAACAGCAGCCTTCTCTAAATGGAAGCTTGATGATAAGCTTTTAGCTTAATGTTTATCATTTCACTTGCTTGAAAGAATGAACCACAAGGCGTTTTGCTAAATGGACTGAAATACCATGCAGCTCAAGTCTTCCTTAGTGCCTTAGAGTAATCTGTCAGAAGGTGCTTTGTAGCTTCCTCCAGTGATGCTCCTCAAGGAAACACAGGCTCCCACAGCAACAATAGGAACAGGGCAGTCCTTCCCATCCCCTAACAGCAAAAGCAGGACTGACCCACCACGTGCACTTTCCAGGCTGCTCCACATAGGGCCTCAACTTAAAATTATTTTTGGAAATGTAATTCCCACCAGAAGACAGGGTATGTTTATTTCGAGTATTACATCACCTTAAAAGCTCAGTGGAAACAAGGGCTAAAATTTTAGCTTTGGGTTTCCTGCCCAGTCCCTTGGACGACCCACAATCCAGTAACTAAAGGGGCTTCAGACACTCCCCCAGCAATACAGCATCTGTCTTGATTAGTCACACTCATGCAACTCTCCCTAAAGTCCTGTTGCCCGGACACCACCAGCAGTAAGCTCTATTGCCCCCACTAGAGCCAGCCTGCGACTCGTATCTGGAATTCCTATCCTCATGCTGCCCTGGGGAGCCCCAGGTGAATAGCAGGATGGACCGGTAGCCCCCACTCCAGCATATCATCGCTACTGGACACCAGGCCCCGCCCCTACACACTCCATTCCCAAAGCCCGCCTGACTCCAGCAAAGGGATGGTGCCCCTGGAGTGATGTGAACACCCTAAAGGGCCAATGCCTGGTGACAATTTGGGTACCTAAGGTCATGGCCACCTGCTGCCAGCAACACTCCAACTTTTTTTTTTTTTTTTTTTTTTAAATACTCAAACTTTTGAGGCTACTTACAGGAACTGCAGCTTCCATGGGGCTTTGGTTCCAAGAGAGCTAGGGGCTCTGTAGCCATTCTAGCAATGGGAAGGCAGTGAGGGCAGTCTGATGCCAGGAAATACTTGGGATAAGAACCCTCCTTTACATTATCCCTGGTGAATTTTGCTCCCAACTTAATAGCAGGACTTAGTTTAAACCCACCGAATACCAATTTGTTATGGAATAAATACAATTTTTTCTGAAAATAAAAATGGGAGCTAACATGTAGTGTTTACTCTGTCATGCACCGTCCCAAATAAATACTTGTCACCACCCTCACTTTTTGAGGAACAGAGAACTTATTTAACACTTAAGTGCCAAAGTCAAAATTTGAACCCAGGCAGCCTGGCAACAGAGTCTGTTCTCTTAACTGCTTTGCTAAGGTTGCTTCTCACCTGCCTGAAAGATTAGGTCTGATCTAAAGATGACTTTCAAAAAACAAACAAACAAACAAACAAACATTTCCTGTGACCTAGACAAGAGACAGGGAATATGTAAACATCTCAGACAAAAATTGAAATGTCACTGCTATGAGTTCAGCAGAATCTGAAAAACAATCAGCACCATGAATGATACCATTGAGGTGAAGAGAAATTCTCAACTTAATTGAGATTACAAGATAGCTGATCATCATTTTAATAAGAAAGTCAGTGAGACCATTTGACATAATTCCCTATGTCAAATCATGGTTCACATGGGAATAATCCAGCTAGTGATAGCCACTAACGCACACTAACACACGCACACCTCCCCCACATATATCAACAGGTAATTTTATAATACATGCAGAAGTTTAGTTATTTTGGAAAATTAAAAAAAGGAAAATATATTTACATTTTCAGTTACATATTGATAAGTACAGATGACTCTTGAACATGGGTTTGAACTGCACATGTCCACTCATATGCAGATTTCTTCGATACAGTACAGTACTCTAAGTATATTTTCTCTTCCTTACAATTTGCCTTAACATTTTCTTCTACTTTAATAAGAATAGGGTATGCAATATTTATAACCTACAAAATAGGTGTTAATTAACTGTTATCAATAAAGTTAGTAGTCACTAGTAGGCGATTAGGAGGTAAGTTTTGGGGCAGTCAAAAGTTGCATGTTCAGGGTGCCTGGGTGGCTCAGTGGGTTGAGCCGCTGCCTTCGGCTCGGGTCATGATCTCGGGGTCCTGGGATCAAGTCCCGCATCGGGCTCTCTGCTCAGCGGGGAGCCTGCTTCCCCCCCTCTCTCTGACTGCCTCTCTGCCTACTTGTGATCTCTGTCAAATAAATAAATAAAATCTTAAAAAAAAAAAAAAAGTTGCATGTTCAGATTTTTGACTGTGTGCAGGGATTGGGGTCAGCACTCCTAACACCCACCTTGTTCAAGGGTCACCTGTACTAATATTAACAACTGATGAAATACTTTGGACATTATCCTTAAATAAAATTCCAAAGCATAACTCCAGCATCTCACTAGATCTTCATGGTAATAAAACCCCCAAATGTATCCTACTCTCCTTCGAAATCCCAAGGATCATTAGGCACACCTTTCACAAAAATATGAGAATGTAGAAATCGAGGTGTTCCTAAAAGGGTGTGAGAAGTGAAAGAGGGAGTGGGGTGAATGAGAGACGAAACAGAACTATACTGTACACTTTATTTACACAGGTATGTATTTTTGAGAGAGAGAGAAAGAGAAAGCATGTGTACGCGAGCAGGGCAGAGGGAGATGTGTTTATTTTTAAAGATTTATTTATTTATTTGAGAGAGAGAGAGAGCGCGAGCATGAGCAGGGGGGAGAGGGAGAAGCAGGCTCCCTGATGAGCCAGGAGCCCCACAAAGGGCTCGATCCCAGGACCCTGGGATCACGACCTGAGCCAAAGACATATGCTTAACTGACTGAGCCACCCAGGCACCCTAAGGGTGACAATTCACATACCCAATGTGGAGCCCAATGCAGGGCTTGATCTCACAACCCTATCATGACCTGAGCCAAAACCAAGAGTCAGACACTTAACTGACTGAGCCACCCAGGCATCCAGGTACACTTTTAAAAACATGGTTTCATC